GCCATTTTGACAACGTAATTTAGTAATGTCCTGGGGCGGCAGAGTTGGAGGTTTCGAGTGTACTGGCGGAAAGCCTGGCAGCGAGCATTTGCCATTTTCTTTTAATTTTCCAACAGTTAAGCTGCCCCTTCTTGCGCGATTCTCGCTGGCAGATTTTACTGCTTAATACGCAAAGTTGCACTTTGGTTTTTATTGCACTTGGTCCAGGGGATTTGCCGACGCCTCCAGGACCTCGAGGTAGGATGCGCTGCGTCCTGAAAGCGTACAAAGTTTTGTGCACGCGCTTTCGCGCCTGGAAATAGCTGCTGCGTTTTATTACGCCCCCTTGTGGACAGGGGCGCAGCGAAAAAGGGGTTCTAAACGGATTGAAATGGAAACCCTATCGCAGAATGGGCTTATCCAATTTAAACAGAACTAAGTATTAATAGGATTAAATGGACAGGGGTATGTTTTTGGGTATGTTTTCACCCCATGGTAACCCTTTTGGCTTTTTCTTTTAATTTTATTCCGAATTATTCAGTCAATGTGGGTTTTAATTAAATTGAATAACGTGAAATTAAAATGCAACTTAAAGATAATGCTTAGAATAACAGATTTTGCGGTATAAACTACCAGAGATATGAGATACCCACTACGCTCCTGACTTTGTATCTTCCTCTTTTATGATGCTGCTGATGGCTAAGGGGTTTTAAAGTGGGTTTGGGGCGGTTAAGCATTTGCTAACAGTCCAGTGAACCGGTAATCAAAGCAAAATCAGCAGCGCACTGAAACAACTTTTTTATGCTAATTTTCACCTTAACCTCCCCTCCCCTCTGATCTTGTGTGTGTGGGTGTGTGTGTGCTCGCTACATTAAACATTTAAATACGTTTTTAAGCAGGCTGATTCCTTTGCCCAGCGAAGCCGAGTGGGTTAAGCAGGATTCGAAAGAACGGAAAGGATTTGCAGCACTCGAGCAATAAGCCAAATTGAAGCTTGCAGATACATCCTCGCAGATGCTGGGCTACTTATCCCGTTTCCACTTCCCATTTCACTTCCTCCGCTTTTCAGTCGCCCATTGACCTGAAGCACTCCTCAACTATTAACTTTGGCGAAGATTGCGACTTTTTGGTGCTTGACTCGAAATGCAAATAGCAAGCCGAGCGCATGATACTTTCAAGTTGGCCCCGCTAAGTTGCCACTTTGCCATCTCGCAGATACTGCCTGTATCCTGTATCCTGAGTGTGTGAGTGTGTAAGTGTGTGACGCCTTCTTTTGGAGGCGTGGCTTGGCACAAGCACTTGTCAAAGTCAACTTCACATTATGTCAAGCAGCGTTATATTCATTTTTTCAGCGCGTGTCTAGCTCCCCACCGACAACGTCTTCTTTATTTTGTCGAGCATTACATATCACCACTTACAGGGTAGCAGGTGGGTTTCTTGATTTTGGGCTAATGTATATATACATTTCATTTTGCTAGAAATTAATAACGTGATTTAAAAATTAATATACATTAAATACTACTCTACGAACAGTGGACTCCTAAGAGCTAATCGAAATATTTTATAAGCTGCTTACTTTATGTATTTAAGGCTGGTTAAAAAGGGAGTATATAAAAAGAAAATAATTCAAGTATAAGCAGAGCTAGTCCAATTTAACAAGCTGCCCTGTTTATAGGGTATTCCCCTTATAGGACTCCTCCTCTGCTCCATTTTTTAAACATTATCATCGCCTCCGCCTCCTGGACCGCTGCCCGCTGTGAGCTAAGAGACCCATCGGCACTTGGTGCGTGTCAGCCACCCGACCGAAACACACCCCGAGATCCAACAGCCAGTACTAAGGCTCCTCTGACATTTACGATATTCCTGGGCATATTTTTTTTTCGGCACCTCCTGCCGCTCGACGTGACTGTTTTATTTGATGTTAATGTGGATATGTTGATGCCGCTCCCGCTGAAGAGGTTTTACGGGCGAAGAAATGTGGGGTGCTGTGGTGGCGTTTACTCGGGCGTCTTGGCCTGAAAGCCACAGCAGGTTAGCACATTATTCACAAAGCCAGGCCTTTAAAACCGAACCACATCCTGAGGTTTCGCTTGCTTAATTTGCGGTTGAGCTGATACAGAAACCCACCCAGTTCGCCCTTCATTTCTCATCATAAAGTGTGTCACACACTTTAACCATTATGAATGGCTGGCGATTTATGTTGATATCCAAATATGCCAAGTGAATGAGAAATGTGCTCAAGCTACTTTTGACATTTTGTCATTTTAAGCTCAATTTCCGGTCTTTGTATTCTCCCTTTCTTCTAATGGTCTACTGTTTATAAAACTCTTGAGAAACATTGATTTTTCTCGGCCATAAATCCTAATTTTGGACAACTGCGCTTGCCGTTAAGTTAACATTCCAAGTGAGCCTCATGGGAGGATTAGGGACAAATAAATTGCCCAGAATGAAAAGAACAATTCGCTTATTGAAAATTTATTTTACCGCTTTATTGAGGAATTTACAGCCTTAATGGTCGATTGAAAAATACTTTGTCCACTGAAACGCAAAGCTCTTGATTGACTTTGACATGTTATTACATTGTTGTTAACAAACAATTTAAAAAGCAATTATTTTCTCTTATTACTAATAGATTGTAATATTGAAATCGAAAACCTTTTCAATTGAAGGACGTATTTTACACAGTAAATCAACACTCTCTATATGTAATTTACATAATTAAAACTAATTAATTCAGAATAAGGTGGCGAAATAAGGGATTATGCGTTTATGTTTTCATTGCAACAAAATGATTTTACTAAAATTTACTTTTAGAATTGGGGAATACGTTTTTGTATAGACGTTTTTGTATAGACATTTTTATGTACGCTAGTTGCGGTTTAATTTTAAAATTTATTTGCCACCTTTCCTTTGCTCGCGTCAGGACTTGCCTTTTATTTTCTGCACCCGCAAAACGCCACATGACACGACCATAAAAATTGCGTTTATTTGCCCGCTTTTAAATCATTTAAGCCGCATTATATGCAGCCAATGGCAAACACACAAATGCGGGCCAAGAGGAAAGTGGGAAAGCGGGAAAGTGGGAAGGAGGGCTTGGAAAAGCGAAAAGTTCTGCCGCGTTGTTTGCGCAAACAGCTAGTGCAACTGCAGCAGCGGCGGCAGCACGCTCCACTCATATTTTCGTGTATATTTATTTATTCAGCTCTGCATTTTATTTCATTTCAGTTTATTTTCGCTCCGGCGAAACTTTTTTATTTTCAATGCATATAAATATATTTTTTGTGCCTTTTACTTCCATTTCCCGAGCGGAGAAGGCGGAAAGCAAAAACGGATACACACACAGGAAAAGCGTAAAAAATAAAACCGAAGCTGTTGCGGGCTATAACAATAAGAGGAATCTTTTTGCACTCGCATGCAGAAACCACGGCTCCAGCCCCCGGAACCACCTTGAAGCCTTTCACTTTTGCTATTTGTTCCGTCACTTCCGGTGGCAACAAAAAATGGCCGCCCGCATGCCACCCCCTCCCTCTCCCCCACCACCACTCCAGTGCGTTTCGCATATTTGTCCACGTTACTGAGCCTGTCCCTTCAGTTTTAACCCCTTTTCCCTTTCTGGTGAGCCGTTGCAGGCGTTTATTAAATGTCACACTGCGAATTGTCCAACGGACCTTAACTCCTCCCCTGCGGGATTTTCCTTCGCAAAAGGACAATGGCACTTGGCGCGTTTGGAGATTTCACTTTGTTGTCCGGCAGCCGGATATTTTTTTGGATCCCGTACTTCTTGTTGACTTTAAGTTACACGTTTTTAGTTGTCTTCCACTCATCGTGGCATCGCTTTTTCCGCTTTAGCCGCTTTCCCACCCGCCTTTTCCCTTTGGGCCTTAACAGTGACAATTTCATTTATTTTGCCATTTTCCGTTTTACGTTTGTGAGCGTTTTTTTCGCTCATGAAACTCAATTACTTGACCTGCAATTGTATCTGTTGGTTTAGCCCCCCTCATGAATGCATTCTTTTGGCCCTTGCCACGTTGCGTATACGCAATAATTACTGGCTGCGACCTCAGTCGCATATTTCGCATTGTTTCGTAATAACGGAAATTATTATGATGTGTCCCCAGCGAGCAATCCATTACATGAAATGCAATCACAATAAATATATTAAGTGAACCAAAATGCATATTTCCCCTTAATTATTAACGATTTCGCCACAATTAATACCCTTGTTAAATATCTTTATTGTACCAGTACATAATGAATGAAAATGGGTGGATTTTTTATTAAATTCTCCGATAATAATCTTTAATGAAACCGTAACTAACTCAAAAATATAATAATATTAAGCTTTTCCGCGCAAATACTTCAGGAAAATCCTGAAACCGTATACCAATATCATAGTCAGAGTAACTTTTTTTTTTATTTGTAACTTTCCATTACAACTTTTCATTTTATTTGCTCAAAAATGAGCAAAACACAATAAAAAACAAGAGGAAAACTTTATTTATTTTTAATTATTTTATAACAGCTGCCTGCCGGCATAAATACAAGTGCAAATACAACACAAGCCGAAATACAAATTCAGGCAAACGCAGAGATACCAGACATTAAATTGCACTGCAAAATAGAATGAAATTCTCCAATTAAATACTACCAAAAACGAAATCAAGGGCCCTGAACCAAATATTCAATTACAGCAACATTTTCAGCTGCGAAAGCAAATGGAAAGTGTGAAAGAGATAGCCCTTAGAAGAACGAGCAATGAAAATGTTGTACTAAATAAAACGTAGCCTCAAGTATTTTGTGGCAAGTTGTTGAAAGTAACCAAAAAAAAAAGGCAGGGGGGCAAACTTTCTGCTCTCCAAACAGATGAAGAGATTGGGTGGCTGGCTGCGAAAAGTTTGCTCAGGTGCTCTGCCACTTGTGGCACTTCCTGCTCAGTGTTTATCTCTGGTTCATCGCAGCCGAGTATCAATTAGCCAAATGAAATTGCTCTCACGCTTGTTTTTCCATTTTCCATTTTCCAGAGCACCGCCGAACCCGTCTATTCACCCACGATGGCCGGAGGACTCTTCTCCATCGACAGGGAATTCTTCGATAGACTGGGCACCTACGATTCCGGATTCGATATCTGGGGCGGCGAGAATCTGGAGCTGTCCTTCAAGACCTGGATGTGCGGCGGCACCCTGGAGATAGTCCCCTGCTCACACGTGGGCCACATCTTCCGGAAACGCTCGCCGTACAAGGTGAGTGCCATCGATCAATTATTGAAAAGAAACCCGAACGGAAAATGGCAAATCATTGCGGACAGACGAGCAACCAATTCCGATGGACCCCATTGCTCATTAGGGAATGGGATGGGCATGGGGTCTGGCTGGAATCTAAAGCTCTTAGCCAACATGTGTGGGCAGCCTCAGGACCAGTTACCAGTCCGGTCCAGAGCTTCGTGTTTGGTCAACAGTGGCCCAATCCTGGGGCCCGCTCCCCGTTCCCCTACCCCTTACCCTCTCCTTTGCCGAATGGCAGCCGCAGAGCAGCAACATGGCACACATGGCACAGACATGGACTCACACATCTCCACTGACATGAACATGCATTGCGGCTGTCTTTGCAACATGGCGATGGTGATTGTGATGGTGTGTGTGTGTGTTTGCGAAGTCCCCCTTTTCCTCCCCTCCCCCACAAAAACCATCCTTTATTCCCCCAGATCTTCCATTTCGGGCCAGCTTCAATTATCAACTGTTTACGCTTGACAAAAGTTTGGCAACTGTTTTGATGTCAATGGCGTAGCACACACAATACTCCTGGAGTGGAAATAACCAATTGGGAATGTGCCAAATCCCAGGGGAGTTGGTTATCCCCAGGATAATCACTAGTAGCGAAAATAAGAAGAAATACAGCATGACCTTACTACTGAGGGAAAAGTCAATAGAAAAGAAGCAATAAAAAAGAATTAAAGTTGAGGATGATTTATTGATTATAAAATCCCACTATTTTAATATTTATGGGCATAAATTGATTCGAATTCATTTTTAAAGATCCATTCGTCTGTTTTGACTTAAATTATTGACATATTTGTATTGTTAAAATCAAAATCAATTGTTAGCGCTTTATTTTACACCTTTTATTAACATTTTATACATCAAGGCAACCATAAAGTATCAATTAATTACAGGCAGAAACAATACATTTGAATTATATTGAAAGCTCGAAATCATATAGAATTGGATGGCTAAATTTGAGCAACCTTATTCCAAATGTAGCCAAATTGAAGTCTCATTAAATTAATAATGCTCACTCAAACATCAAGCAATGCTGAACAATTCAATAGGCTTGTCTCTAGGCAACAAAATCACAGAATGCAATAGGAGTTCAAAGGAATCGCAACAGATTGCTGCATTTATCGCGCAGTTATCGATTGCGAAGAGCCCCAGAATTTACGGCCCTAGCTGGCGATTTCAATAAATGTCAGGAGCAAACATTGGGCCCACATTCGAGCTCCGAGTTCCGGGCCAGGAATGGTCCTGCTGTGCGAGAGTGCAGCAAGGCCCACAGACACCTGTACGGTGAACGCATAAACACAAAACAAGACACACAACGGGCGGACATTGTTCCGGCTTTCATGGGGGAAAAGGCAAAGGGGCCAAGACAGATGGCCAGGAACAACCGCAAAAGGACCGAGAACTGGCTGCCGGAGCCACCTAATGCCACTAAGCAAAAGCTACTCATTCAGGTAATTAGGCTTTGTTGTCCACTCCACTCGATCCACCCGACCCCGCAAACCCCGCAACCCCCATCCTCCGTCCTTCGACTCTGTTTGCTGACCAAATATTTCCATTGACTCCGGCACCGTCCACACTGGCCGTCCACTGATTGCGCTTTTCCTCACTCCGCCCAACCACCCACTCATGGCCATTCCATTCCGGTTCCCTTCTACTCCTTCGATTGCAGTGGCGTTCGGGCGTGAATGTGCTGAAGAAGAACTCCGTGCGGCTGGCCGAGGTTTGGATGGATGACTACTCGCAGTACTACTACCACCGCATCGGAAACGACAAGGGCGACTGGGGCGATGTCAGCGATCGCAGGAAGCTACGGTGAGTGGATTTGGTATTTGCATATGGCATTGTCCAAGAAAACTCTCTTATTCTGTTTGTGACATTGAGGGTTTGGCATTCAAAAGTGATTTTAATTTACGAATTTGCATAGAAAATTAATTTGATCCAAAGCAACGATTGGTGATCCATTACTACTTAAAATAAGATTGTTCTTAGCGCCATTACACAAAGAGGTCATAGCAATGATTGCGACATTGAATTATATTTATAATTTGAAAAACAAAACCATTTTGCCATTGTAAAAACCCAAAATAACACCCTTTCTTTTCCACCCAGTGACGATCTGAAGTGCAAGAGCTTCAAGTGGTATCTGGACAACATTTACCCCGAACTCTTTATTCCCGGCGATTCGGTGGCCCAAGGCGAGGTAAGTGTCCCGAGTTGCATAACAATACTAACCCAACATTCCAAGCCCCGGAGCAAGGCAACACCATCCCCCAAATCTAATCCAAACCTAACGAAAACAAACGGCCACCCGTAAACACTATCCAATCCGCAGATAAGAAACCTAGGTTATGGCGGTCGCACCTGCCTGGACGCACCTGCTGGCAAGAAGCACCAGAAGAAGGCCGTGGGCACGTACCCCTGCCACCGGCAGGGAGGAAACCAGGTTTGTTAGCCCATCTCGGCAGCCCTGCGACCGCCACAAACTCCGTCCAGTCACAAGCAAACCGCGCCAGGAACAACAGCGTCTTCGGACGGCGACCCTCTCCCCTTCTCCACTCTCTCCGCTACTACTAAACTATTCAATCTGTGTCCCAAAACTAAACTAAACTCTCTCGGGCGATTGGGTGTCACACTCCCCTCAGACTCCCTCCTTGACCAGCTGTTAGATGGCTCCGCTATATAGTGCCCTTAAATTGCAGATCGCCAACATGCCCAGCGGCATGTGCCTGGATGCGAAAGAGAAATCCGAAGAGGAGGCGCCGGTCTCCGTTTATGAGTGCCACGGCCAAGGAGGAAATCAGGTATCCACCTCCATGTCCACATCCTCGGAACTCGGAACTCCGAAAGGAGGAGGCGGCGATTCAGAGTCCCTGATTCCCCGTTTCTCGATATCGTTGCTTGGGGGAAATACTTCTGCTTCGGTTTTGTCTTCATTCCTGTTTTTGATTTGACGCTTTTTGCAATTCGTTTTAATTGTATTGTTATCTTTTTGTTAATTTTCCGCTTGCTTTATTAACTTTAGACTAAACCCAAACCCAGTTTCACACCAGACAATACTCCTTTAAATTACATCACATAACATCATCATCGCTTAACCAATTTACCATAAGGTTCAGGAACTTTGATCGGAGGATGCCTAAAGTTAAAACATTTTCATCTAAACTATTTTAGAAAGACCTTAAAATAACTTCCTTAAATACAATACTTTTCTTTTCGAAGAAGGTTTGCTTTAAAGCGACTTCATCAAAGCAATCATTTACACACAATCAGCTAGGCACTCAACTTTTTGAAACTTTTTTGCACTACCAATTTTTAATTTAAGTTGTCCTAACTGTAGATCTTTTGCATAAATCATCATCTGCAGATGATTCTTAACTTTCACTTCTCGTAATGCTAAACTTTTCTACTTAAAACGTTCTTTTTAATTAAATAACTTAACTCTTCAACTAATTTCCCCCCTTTTGTTAGTTTATAAAAACTTGTCCCCGTATTTTGTTATTGATTTTTGGTGCTTGCTGGGAAGTCCTCTTCTAAAAAGGTGTTTTTCCAAAGTGGATCCCCCGTTACAAAAATTGACAACAATAATATTTTTGTCGTTGTTAATTGCTACCCTTGTGAAAGTCCTGCGGTTTTGAGCACTAATTTTGACGGAGTTTGTGGCTACAATAACAATTATCTGTAGAGTACATAAATAATTTCGATTTATTGCTCACGGGCAAACAATTCATATTCAATTTATTTTCCTTGCATAAGTGAAAGTATTTATCAATAAGAGTTGCCAGCCGAAATTGCATTGACAATTTAACAGTTTTACAGGATGCATACAAGCGCGCCAACAGAACACACACACACACACACTCGTTACAATTCTTACTCACACAAACACACAGAATTGCATATTTTTGAGGATTTCGGGGTCGATTTATGTCATGTCACGAAAATTAATTAAAACGCAATCAAAAATACAATGCCAAATGATAAATCATTTACATGGCTTTGGCTTTGGCTTCAGCTTTCCTGTTTTTTCTGCATTCAGCTATTCGAAAAAAAACAACCACATTTACAATACCGATACCTCAAAAAGTCCCACAAAAAAACTTTAGTTACAAGTATGTTGAACTACAATGGAAGTACAAACAACACAAATGCAAGTAAATGAACTGCAACAATGGAATCCTCACAGACACACAAACTGACACCAAAACTTGAAAATATCCTATCCTTGAGGGCCACGACCTCGCGATACCCTATACTACCATGTTTTGTAAATGGGTAACGATTTTTAAGTATGTCAAGTTGCTTAAAAATGGGAAAAAATGTGTTTAAGAACAGAAGGCTCTGTAGGTACATTTATTTTCACTTACATAACACACCCTTGTTTCTTACGAATAATGGGTATTAAGAACAAGCTGACTTACTTCTACGCTCACACAGATTCACTGCGGATGTGTGAGAATATTGTATATTCAACATTTAAAAGGGGGAAGTGTTGTGTTGACCTCGTTCCGCTTGCTCTAAAATCGCCCCAGACAGACAACTGCCACGCCCACTGCCCGAAGCAGCGCCCATACACACAATGCTACAAAATAGAAGCCACATTTAAAGGGGGGAAAAGTAGGAAAAAAGATTCCTCCAAATGTTTGTTTGCTCTCGGAAATGCGGCTAAAATAATCAACATTTGCCAGTCAGACACATAAGCGCAGAAAGAGCTGCGTTTTCGCTTTTTTACACGCAAATTTTAATTTCGCACATCGTAAAATTTAGCAAGGGAACCCAGCCAAATGGCAAAAGGGGAAATAAAACGCTTTCGACTGCCACGTCAAAGGACAGCTCCACCGAAAAGTGGGAGGCAAGAGAGGGTACTGTCCACATAATGAAAGTATTCCCCTCATGCGGAAAAAAACGCGTCTAGGCTAGCAAAAATATTTTTGCCCACCCCGCAAACAAATTTGTTCAGTGGGCGAAACAAAAAATGAAGCTACATAAAAAATACACTAGATAAAAACTGGAGAGTGGTAAAAAAACGTAATTAAAAACGCATCTCGCGCTCACACAGAAAACGCAATACGAGCGCAGGGAAAAGGGAAAACGGTGATAAAAGAAATGCAAATTGAGACCGCCAAGGACGACAGTCGAGAGGGGGGCAGTGGGGTAGTAAACCTAAGCAATAGGGGAGGATGAACACGATGTATAATCGGTGCAAAGGAAAACGTCCTTGGGCGACCGGTGAAAGACAGAGCTTAAAGCAAAGGGATATTTAATGGGAAACGTTATTATTTGACTGGGCATTCACATTATTAAGTTTCTTAATACCAAATATCGACCAATGAATCATAACTAAGAGTGTATTTTGATAAATCTCTCTTTGCAATCTAGGAAAAAAAATACTATCATTATAAAATCAGTAACAAAACAGGTCATACATTCTGGTCGACTCTTTTATTTTTATTCGCTTTAACAATTGGAATTGAACGCGGAACCAGGAGTCCTCGAAACTGCCTTTATTGAACCGGTCATACAATAACAGTAATTATTCATGGTACAAGCCCTGCGCTGACCAATCTCATCATTATTCCAGTCCTGGCATCATTATAAACAAAATAAAGATGGGGCCATCCGGCTGGCGGTGCGGAAGCGGAAATGGTAACACAAAATGGCGGCTGGTCACGACCTGACAGCGCAAAGGGGCGGGCCGGCTAGGCAGGGGGCGTGGCAGGAGCAGGGCAAACAAAGGCAATTTCAGTCACCAGCAGAATCTGAACCGAGCACAGGCCATCTGGCATTGGCAACGTGTTTTAAATTATAAATAATCATGGCCATCGAGTCTCAGACAAAATCCAGACTCACACAGACGCGCCCACCCCCACACACTCTTACACACACTTACACACAGACAGAGGCAAGGATATACACACGCAAACACACAAGCACAAAACCGAGCTGCTTTTTGGCATTTAATTGAATTAAACATTAGTGTGTAATAAGTTGTGCGATTGTAGCCCTGGAAAAACTTTTGGCAACTGGCAAACGCATTCCCCGCCCTTACAATTTATATTAATGTCCTTCCCTCGCTTTTCCCAGTACTGGATGCTGAGCAAGGCGGGCGAAATTCGACGCGACGACTCCTGTCTCGATTATGCCGGCAAGGATGTGACGCTCTTTTCCTGCCACGGCGGCAAAGGAAATCAGGTGAGTGGATGAAATATGTTCATAGGGGCAAAAGAATAGGGGGAATTTAAGCTCTGAGAAACACTATGAAAAGGTGCTTTTAAATATTTATAATGCGTTAAAATTGTTTTAGTTTTGTAGAATATGAGAATTTACTTTTAAAATCCCAGGGACATGTGCCTTAAATATAACCCAACTTTTAAGCAGATTTCCGAATTAAAATTGTCTGATGCCAAAGATTAATACCTCAAAATTAAACCAGTTTAAGAAAATCTTGCAAAATATCTTTTTAGGTTTAAATTTACCACCCAATCACACATTATTTTCTCTCATGGAATGAATATTCGATTTTAATTCATTTGAAAGATGAATAGACTGAATAATATACCAAATTGTTTTGTTAGGGATGTAACTGCCTTGAAGGTGACAATTAGACTAACCCAATCCTATCCTCGTTTCAGTTCTGGACTTTCCGCGAGAACACAAAGCAGCTGCACCACGGCACCTCCGGCAAGTGCCTGGCCATCAGCGAGAGCAAGGACAAGCTGCTGATGGAGGAGTGCAACACCAGCCTCGGCCGCCAACAGTGGACCCTCGAGAACTACGACAGTTCCAAGTTGTGAGGCTACTTCTATGCGAGGGGCAACCTCCTGTTGCCCACTTCGCGGCGGCACCAACAACCACATGCATAGCGGCAGGACCAGAAAAGGAAGCGCAGACAGGACATGAGGTGGCGGCAGGAGTTGGAGTAGTTAGATTCCCCCGAGGCATGTGCAATAGGGAGTGGGAGGAGGAGGAGGAGGAGGACGAGGGGAACGAGTGGATTGTAGCAGCAGCATTACTTGCCATGCTATATAAATATTATTAAAATTTATATGTTTCCAAACAACAGAATAGACGTTACTTAGCCCTAAGTACCACACACCCACAGACTAGACAAACAGACACTGAAAAGATAACGACTGCTGTACAGTAGCTATAAGTTGATAAGTTTTCTAGACCTAAGTCGGAGCACTTAGGATTAGGTTAATGGAGCCAGGCCCAAGGACAATTGCTGGCCAACAAAACGAAGTCGTAGCGCAATTTTGCATTTAAATTTGTAAACATTTAGCACAATTTACGGAAAGTGTGAACCTTGTCTCTGTGTACTTGACTTATTCCCATGGCCAACGACAGGCGAAAGATGTCCGGATTATTTATGAATTTTACAAATGTCATCAAATGGCTCTGCGAAAGCCTCATTCCAAATATATGTTTTAGTGAGTAAGCCCTAGACTAAGTCTGAGTTGGAAAGCATTTGGTGATAGCCTTTGTTTCGCCTGTGACCCCGAGTACTCCCATTTATAATTTCCTATACCTACCTAAATATCTCTTTAAATGGCGAACCAAAATTTTGATTTAAATTATTTTCGTACGATTTAGGGACAGTCTTGTGTTGCTTAATTTTTAGACGAGGAGCGTTGCAAACCTTATGCCAAATTACGTTTAGATGTGTTCTTTTTATCAAAACGACAACATATCCTATTTGTTGGACAATGCCAGCTTGTAGTACTTACAAATATCAGTTTCCAAACTACCGATATCACACAAAATATATAGCGTTAGTCCCTAGAGGTTAGTCCTTAATGCAAATATGCATAGTGCCTTCTATTTATAACGGACGCATTCTTCACAGCGACTGTGTAAATACTGTACCGTACAATTCCATATCGCATCCTGCAGAATGTGTACATAACTATGATTAAATACTGTTTTATTCAAGACTAAAACGTACATATTATATCCAGATGGTAGCCAAGAGTTACGCGTTGATTTTCAATTGCTATGTATTATTCCATCTAGCGAGCTTCACTGTAGGCGGCATTTACATTTTACGTACGAAACCAAAAGCCATAGGAAGTGGTCGATAACCTTTTTTTAAACTAAACTTACAATAGTTAACTAAGCGCGTAGTAAATGTCTAGTAAGGACGCAAATATTGTGCAAGGAATCAGATAAAGTTATAAATAAAAATACGTGAATTGAAAATGTGTTTGACTTTCCTATTTCAGCTCTCGCCATTTATGCGAAGGGTGGCGAACAATGACGAGCCACCTAGCGGTCGAGTTTGTCCTGTGTAAAACTCTTGTAGAATTCCCCGAGTAAAAATCTTGTAGAATTCCCCGAGTAAAAATCTTGTCGAATTCCACGAGAAAAAATACTGTAGAATTCCCAGAGACAATGCTGCGAGTAAAATAAAAATGTTTCCAAGGGTTTTGATCGAAAAACCGATATAAAAGTTGATTTTTCCGGATCTCCGGATTTTGACCTTTAATATAAGGGGTTACATCATCCATATTTGCCAAAAATCGACTGATTTGAAATTTTTTAGCTGTGAATGCCACCCGATTGGAAATTTTATAACGAATTCAGTGAGGTATGGCATTCCAACATCTGACAATTATTTCCCAGGGTTTTGATCAAAAAACCGAAATAAAAGTGGGTTTTTCCGGATCTCCGGATTTTGGCATTTTTGATAAGGGGTTACATCATCCATATTTGCCAAAAATCGACTGATTTGAAATTTTTTAGCTGTGAATGCCACCCGATTGGAAATTTTATAACGAATTCAGTGAGGTATGGCATTCCAACATCTGAGAATTATTTCCCAGGGTTTTGATCAAAAAACCGAAATAAAAGTGGGTTTTTCCGGATCTCCGGATTTTGGCATTTTTGATAAGGGGTTACATCATCCATATTTGCCAAAAATCGACTGATTTGAAATTTTTTAGCTGTGAATGCCACCCGATTGGAAATTTTATAACGAATTCAGTGAGGTATAGCATTCCAACATCTGACAATTATTTACCAGGGTTTTGATCAAAAAACCGAAATAAAATGGGTTTTTCCGGATCTCCGGATTTTTGCATTTTTGGTAAGGGGTTACATCATCCATATTTGCCAAAAATCGACTCATTTAAAATTTTTTAGCTGTGAATGCCACCCGATAGGAAATTTTATAACGAATTCAGTGAGGTATGGCATTCCAACGTCTGACAATTATTTCCCAGGGTTTTGATCAAAAAACCGAAATAAAAGTGGGTTTTTCCGGATCTCCGGATTTTTGCATTTTTGGTAAGGGGTTACATCATCCATATTTGCCAAAAATCGAATGATTTAAAATTTTTTAGCTGTGAATGCCACCCGATTGGAAATTTTATAACGAATTCAGTGAGGTATAGCATTCCAACATCTGACAATTATTTACCAGGGTTTTGATCAAAAAACCGAAATAAAAGTGGGTTTTTCCGGATCTCCGGATTTTGGCATTTTTGATAAGGGGTTACATCATCCATATTTGCGAAAAATCGACTGATTTGAAATTTTTTAGCTGTGAATGCCACTCGATAGGAAATTTTATAACGAATTCAATGAGGTATGGCATTCCAACATTTGCCACTTATTTCCCAGGGCCTTAATCAAAAAACCGAAATAAAAGTTGAAATATAAACACAAAATTAAAGTTATTAAATTAACAAGTCCCAACCCACAGTAAAAGTTTTGCATAAATAGTATGTATAAATTTGTTTATTTTTTAAACATATAATTTATGAATCGAAATGTCTTAATTAAATAAAGGAACGCAGAAAGGAGATCAGGATCAGCATTGTCAAGGAAGTGTCCATGGATATTTGGGCATAGCTTCAGTGTCGTCTTCAAGGATATCCGTGATTTACCAGTCGCCGTGTTCTAGCCCTCCAGCTCTTCAACGAAGATATATATTAGGAGCTTACCTACAAGAACTCATAAGTTAGCTATTAATAATAATACTGCCATTACCTTATACCTGAAACATCAATAATAAATGAATTTAGTTTTTCGTACATAAAATGATTATTATAAGTTAGCATAAGATTAAGGTAAGATCTTTCTAAATATAAGCACATAGCATGTATTTTATCTTAAAAGTAAAATCTTTATTTATTTATAATAAACATTGTTTTAAATAAAAAATAATCTTATATCATAACAAAAATTCGTTTTTCAATGGGATTGTGTTTTAGGGTTTTCAGGTGGGAGAATAATTTTTAAATTTTGTAACAGTGAATGCCACTCGATTGGAAATTTTATAACGAATTCAGTGAGGTATGGCATTCCAAGATCTGATAATTATTTCCCAGGGTTTTGATCAAAAAACCGAAATAAATGTGGGTTTTTCCGGATCTCCGGATTTTGATATTTTTTATAAGGGGTTACATCATCCATATTTGCCAAAAATCGACTGATTTGAAATTTTTTAGCTGTGAATGCCACCCGATTGGAAATTTTATAACGAATTCAGTGAGGTATGGCATTCCAAGATCTGATAATTATTTCCCAGGGTTTTGATCAAAAAACCGAAATAAAAGTGGGGTTTTCCGGATCTCCGGATTTTGGCATTTTTGATAAGGGGTTACATCATCCATATTTGCCAAAAATCGACTGATTTGAAATTTTTTAGCTGTGAATGCCACTCGATTGGAAATTTTATAACGAATTCAGTGAGGTATGGCATTCCAAGATCTGATAATTATTTCCCAGGGTTTTAATAAAAAAACCGAAATAAAAGTGGGGTTTTCCGGATCTCCGGATTTTGGCATTTTTGATAAGGGGTTACATCATCCATTTTTGCCAAAAATCGACTGATTTGAAATTTTTTAGCTGTGAATGCCACTCGATTGGAAATTTTATAACGAATTCAATGAGGTATGGCATTCCAACATTTGCCACTTATTTCCCAGGGCCTTGATCAAAAAACCGAAATAAAAGTTGAAATATAAACACAAAATTAAAGTTATTAAATTAGCAAGTCCCAAAATTTTTTAGCTGTGAATGCCACTCGATAGGAAATTTTATAACCAATTCAATGAGGTATGGCATTCCAACATTTGCCACTTATATCCCAGGGCTTTGATCAAAAAACCGAAATAAAAGTTGAAATATAAACACAAAATTAAAGTTATTAAATTAACAAGTCCCAACCCACAGTAAAAGTTTTGCATAAATAGTATGTATAAATTTGTTTATTTTTTAAACATATAATTTATGAATCGAAATGTCTTAATTAAATAAAGGAACGCAGAAAGGAGATCAGGATCAGCATTGTCAAGGAAGTGTCCATGGATATTTGGGCATAGCTTCAGTGTCGTCTTCAAGGATATCCGTGATTTACCAGTCGCCGTGTTCTAGCCCTCCAGCTCTTCAACGAAGATATATATTAGGAGCTTACCTACAAGAACTCATAAGTTAGCTATTAATAATAATACTGCCATTACCTTATACCTGAAACATCAATAATAAATGAATTTAGTTTTTCGTACATAAAATGATTATTATAAGTTAGCATAAGATTAAGGTAAGATCTTTCTAAATATAAGCACATAGCATGTATTTTATCTTAAAAGTACAATCTTTATTTATTTATAATAAACATTGTTTTAAATAAAAAATAATCTTATATCATAACAAAAATTCGTTTTTCAATGGGATTGTGTTTTAGGGTTTTCAGGTGGGAGAATAATTTTTAAATTTTGTAACAGTGAATGCCACTCGATTGGAAATTTTATAACGAATTCAGTGAGGTATGGCATTCCAAGATCTGATAATTATTTCCCAGGATTTTGATCAAAAAACCGAAATAAAAGTGGGTTTTTCCGGATCTCCGGATTTTGGCATTTTTGATAAGGGGTTACATCATCCATATTTGCCAAAAATCGACTGATTTGAAATTTTTTAGCTGTGAATGCCACCCGATTGGAAATTTTATAACGAATTCAGTGAGGTATGGCATTCCAAGATCTGATAATTATTTCCCAGGGTTTTGATCAAAAAACCGAAATAAAAGTGGGGTTTTCCGGATCTCCGGATTTTGGCATTTTTGATAAGGGGTTACATCATCCATATTTGCGAAAAATCGACTGATTTGAAATTTTTAGCTGTGAATGCCACTCGATTGGAAATTTTATAACGAATTCAGTGAGGTATGGCATTCCAAGATCTGATAATTATTTCCCAGGGTTTTAATAAAAAAACCGAAATAGAAGTGGGGTTTTCCGGATCTCCGGATTTTGGCATTTTTGATAAGGGGTTACATCATCCATATTTGCGAAAAATCGACTGATTTGAAATTTTTAGCTGTGAATGCCACTCGATAGGAAATTTTATAACCAATTCAATGAGGTATGGCATTCCAAGATCTGATAATTATTTCCCAGGGTTTTAATAAAAAAAACCGAAATAAAAGTGGAGTTTTCCGGATCTCCGGATTTTGGCATTTTTGATAAGGGGTTACATCATCCATATTTGCCAAAAATCGACTGATTTGAAATTTTTTAGCTGTGAATGCCACCCGATTGGAAATTTTATAACGAATTCAGTGAGGTATGACATTCCAACATCTGATAATTATTTCCCAGGGTTTTAATAAAAAAACCGAAATAAAAGTGGGGTTTTCCGGATCTCCGGATTTTGGCATTTTTGATAAGGGGTTACATCATCCATATTTGCGAAAAATCGACTGATTTGAAATTTTTAGCTGTGAATGCCACTCGATAGGAAATTTTATAACCAATTCAATGAGGTATGGCATTCCAAGATCTGATAATTATTTCCCAGGGTTTTAATAAAAAAACCGAAATAAAAGTGGGGTTTTCCGGATCTCCGGATTTTGGCATTTTTGATAAGGGGTTACATCATCCATATTTGCGAAAAATCGACCGATTTGAAATTTTTTAGCTGTGAATGCCACCCGATTGGAAATTTTATAACGAATTCAGTGAGGTATGGCATTCCAAGATCTGATAATTATTTCCCAGGGTTTTGATCAAAAAACCGAAATAAAAGTGGGGTTTTCCGGATCTCCGGATTTTTGCATTTTTGATAAGGGGTTAGTTACATCATCCATTTTTGCCAAAAATCGACTGATTTGAAATTTTTTAGCTGTGAATGCCACCCGATTGGAAATTTTATAACGAATTCAGTGAGGTATGGCATTCCAAGATCTGATAATT